CCCTTTCCGGTTATCAGCAGTCCTTTCCTCACACTGTGACAGCTTGAGGAAAGTGCTGCGGACAACCAGCAACTGTATTTACTTTGTGATCAGCTGTGTCGTTGGACAAAGCGGATCATGTGGTAAAAGTCCACTGTGATTGGCCTTTTACCTTGTCATGTAATCAACTGTGTCCTTAGGACACAGCAATCACAGACTGCGGCGGGTGCACACTGCTAGGGTCGCGTTCTGGGAGGACGTCACATGACTCCCTCCCAATACTGGACAACCGCGTTGTAGCCATCATTTGGCTATAGCGTGTTTGTAAAGTGGTTAAAAGCTGTGTATTACAGGGAAAAGGAGCCAAGAAACTTTTGTTGCCATTTCCCTAAAACAATCTCACAATCATAATACATATACCAATAAGTACACTCTAATATTCTCATGAATTCTTATCACAAACATTTCATAATAGCATGCATTTATACATAAACTTACTTACAGTCTTCTCCATTTTAAATTATAGTTAATCAAAAGGTTTATTTGTGCAATGTGCATTTGTATAGTAATGAAGGAAGTGCGGTCCAGACTGTTAATAAATGCCCTATTCTGTAATGCACTAAGGCAGTGTATGATGGGATATGATCTACAGGAAATGATGCAAGCAGAAAGCATTATTTAAAATTTCAAACAAAAAAGGTGAAAAATCAAAAGCTGCCACAGATGACATAAATGAGAGAACACTGGAATGGCTTGGGCAGAATAGACATTATAAAAAGTGAAATTCTGTCTGAAAAGGTGCACTTAGCCTTTGAGCATGTTAAGCTCATATATAGGTTATAACATGTAAATACTCTTGTTCTGCCACTCACCCCTTCATTGCCCCTCAACATGACAGTGGGTGGGGGTTCCTCTACCCACAACCGCTGCACGACTTTGAAAATGGTCAGTTTTGTGAAGGGCTCTGCCTGTACGGTTGTGTCATGCAGTCACAGGACCACCATGGCAGATGAACTTGTAGTTTGAATTAACTGCTGGTGCGCTGATCAGCATGCCTGTACTTCATTCACAATGCCTACAGCTCTGAAAATGATAACCTGTACAAAAGGTATAGGCAACAGGGCTGTAGGCAGTGTGTGCAGGAGCATGACAAGACATACTTAGCAGACCCGGTTTTAAAAAAAATATTAAATGCACACGTTTATATGCAAAAATATGTTTAGTTTTTTTTTTTTTTAATTAAAAAGGTGAACTTGGCCTTTAAATTTGTTCTGATGCAATTTGCAATAAAACAAAACCAAAAATCCATGGTCCACTGTGCCTGAAAAAGGCCAGGAACTGAAGCCACTTTCTGAGAGTACTTATCCAACAGGATCTCCTGATTTTCACCAGCTACTGCTCTGACTCTTATAAAAGCAGTTATAAGGCAAACTATACAGGCGGCGCGCCCTGATGCGCAACTGGTAGTAGCATTCTGGAGCCAACCCCTTTGACCTTCCCTTGCTGAGGATTTAACAGGCCTTACCTCAGGAGTGCATGCCCACAATTGATAACCTGGAGAGCATGTCCAAAGTTTGCATAAGGCATCTGAAAGGTGAAAAATGGAAGCTGTGGATGGGGAGGTGCCCAGACCAGCCCCCATAGCAGTGAATAATTCTGTACAGAACAGAAGGAGAAAACACTGTACAATATAGTAAACACTCCACAGAACACTAGCAACTTCACCCAGCCACTCCTTACCAGCAGCACTCTACCAAAGGGCCACTGCAGAAACAGAACTTAGTCGAGGGAGAACAGCCACACAAAGACTTCCACCCAAGGAGGCACTCACAAATCCAGGGCTATTTCAGGAGTCCAATCTTCAACCACCATGGTGGGCATGCCACAAAAGGGACCTTAAAGAACACAAATTCCCCTCCGGGATCACTGCCCTGGACCAAGTACACTGGAGAGCACTGCTTTCAGGATCCACTACCCATTGACAACATTACAGGTCATCCCTGCAATTCTTCAGCAGAACCACAGTGGGCCCCAGGGCTGCAGATGACTGATCCATATAAAGCCCTTCCCTTCCTCAGTAGGGGTATATGGAACAGGCAGCTAAATGCCCATAGAAGGGCATACATGCCTATAGAAGGAAATTTAACTGAGACTTCAAAAGGCAAAATCATCACCCAAAAATGCTACCAAAAAAGCGGAGGCTGTGCTTTGCTGAGGAGGGGTTATGCCTGGAGCAGGAAGCATGCCTTTATTGTGAAGCCAGTATCCATTCACCTGTGGGTGGAAGCATAATCTAATCATTATGGATACGAAAAAACCATGTGTTCTGTGATGTACAATTATGAAAGAGTATTTAGCAAGTAAATGTGGTGCTATAAACTAGAACAGTAATAAATGAACAAGGTTATTTTTGTTGAAAGACCTTTCAAGGTGCTACTTCTCCAAAACACTCCATATAAAATCCATGGTCCTGTAGTCCCCGTGGGTGCCAAAGCCAGAAGCCTGCACTCACTTCATGCTGAACTTAAGCTCAAGCAAAAAGGACCTTATACCAGTTACATCTTCAAAGTCCAGTTAACTTTAAAGCGCAAGCAAAGCAGAATATAGCTAACACTGCAGACGGTTCACCTGCGGCCTCAGACAGAAAGTTTGCAGTCAGTGCTGAATGCTGAAACAAGAGTCAGGGCAGCCACATACACCCCAAGCACTGGCGTCGGGGCAGCCACATACACCCCAAGCACTGGCGTCGGGGCAGCCACATACACCCCAAGCACTGGCGTCGGGGGAGCCACATACACCCCAAGCACTGGCGTCGGGGGAGCCACATACACCCCAAGCACTGGCGTCGGGGCAGCCACATACACCCCAAGCACTGGCGTCGGGGCAGCCACATACACCCCAAGCACTGGCGTCGGGGCAGCAGCCACATACACCCCCAAGCACTGGCGTCGGGGCAGCCACATACACCCCAAGCACTGGCGTCGGGCAGCCACATACACCCCAAGCACTGGCGTCGGGGCAGCCACATACACCCCAAGCACTGGCGTCGGGGCAGCCACATACACCCCAAGCACTGGCGTCGGGGCAGCCACATACACCCCAAGCACTGGCGTCGGGGCAGCCACATACACCCCAAGCACTGGCGTCGGGGCAGCCACATACACCCCAAGCACTGGCGTCGGGGCAGCCACATACACCCCAAGCACTGGCGTCGGGGCAGCCACATACACCCCAAGCACTGGCGTCGGGGCAGCCACATACACCCCAAGCACTGGCGTCGGGGCAGCCACATACACCCCAAGCACTGGCGTCGGGGCAGCCACATACACCCCAAGCACTGGCGTCGGGGCAGCCACATACACCCCAAGCATTGGCGTCGGGGCAGCCACATACACCCAAGCATTGGCGTCAGGGCAGCAAAATACACCCAAGCATTGGCGTCAGGGCAGCAAAAACCCCAGACTGGTGTTAGTGAAACAAAAAACCCAGAATTGGTGTCAGTGCTGCAAAACATCCTAAGGATTGCTATTCAGTAAAAAAAAATAAAATCCAAGATTGGTGTCAAGGTAGCAAAATAGCCTCATGATCAGTGTCAGTCCAGCAAAATACCAACGGGATTGGTGTAAGTGCAGAACAGTATGCCCAGAACTGGAAATTGGTGCAACCAGCAAAAAACAAACCTCAGGGTTTATGATCAGTTCAGTACAACACCTCTAGGATTGGTGTCAGTATAGTAACATGCTCTCAGAATTAATGTGCATTTCAGCAAAAAATTAACAAAGCAGTAAGCATATCCAATTTGTCCTAAACATTGGAAATGTATTCTTGAGGCACATTTTATTTTATGGAAAATGTATGGACCACTCGGTGGAAAAGCAATAAGAACAGCCTGTGGTCCCACATATACAAAACCTTTTCTGGGAAGGTGGGAAGATAAGAGTTGTATTCACGAAAGAGATGCAAAAATGTACTCTAAAAATGTTGCTTTGAGCAACATTGAGGATATGTTCACACTATGGAACGGCACAAAAACAATTGAAAGAATTTGCCTTAACACTGAACACCAACTCAACAGGAGTTTATTTTATTGGTGAGATTCATGAGGTGGTCATTAACTTTTTGGACCTTTCAATTAGAGAGGATGGGACAGGTACGATACACCACAATCTTTTGGAATTGCAACACTGCAAATAGTCTTCTACACTGGACCAGCAATCCCAAGTTCCTTAAAAGAGGAATACCCACAAGACAATTTAAAGGCACAAATAAAGACTTTCTAAAATATGTTAAAATGTTGCATATTTTTAGGATAGAGGATATCTAAAACTTCTTAAACTATTAAAAATATTTAATAAACATTAAGGATAGAACGTAGGAAGCCCTATCAGACAGAAATACAACTGGAGATACTGCATGTTTTACAGGGGGGGGGGGGGGGGCGACTTGCAGTGTGCAACAGAAGCTGCTCTCCCCATCTCCACATTCACTGTTTAGACTTGCTGTCAGTACAGGCTCTCCATGTGAAGTAAAAGTGCCATCCGCAACTAGGGGAGGCATCTACAATGCCATCCCCACAGTATCTTTGCCCCAGGTCCTGCTGCCAGCAAGGAACAATTGCAGGATATAGTGGAGTTCTGACTGGCATTTGATTGTGTTACATTGCTAGCTTTGACATGTGCCGCAGGTTGCCAACCTCGGAAATAGATATGGCTTTTTTTTTTTCAAGTCAATTGTAAAAGGGCTACACATTTTTCTGATTGGTTGAAACACTGAAGCTAATAAATCAACTGCTCCCCTCCTGATCAATATGATAAAAAACATGCAAAACTAAAGAATGCTATTGCCAACTAATTATTAAAAGTTCCACATATACAGTATATATATATATATATATATATATATATATATATATATATATATACACACATGCACACATATACATATACATACATATATACATACACACACACACCCTTTTGTTTTTAAAGTGGAGAATTTTTGTTATAGACCTAGTGACTTACCTGGCCATCATATGATGCTTGCATAACATGACTTATGACAGACGGCAAAGTCATCTTAGAAACAGGATCAGTATGTACAGCAAATTCTTTTACTAGATTAATAGGATCTTTAGAAAAAGTGAAGCAGCGCCATGCAGTAGCATTCTGGAAACAAAAATGAAAGTAAATATCATTACTCTAACTTCAAGAACGTAATGCATTCTAAAATAAGTGAATTATTTGAAGTAAATGGCCATTTGAAAATTAAGAGGACACTGTCAACTTATCCATTAAAGACAAAGTGACAGTGAGTGTCCAAACAGCACCTTCCCACCACCACAGTTACAGTGGGGATCGAAAGTTTGGGCACCCCAGCTAAAAATTTGTATTAATGTGCATAAAGAAGCCAAGGAAAGATGGGAAAATCTCCAAAAGGCATCAAATTACAGATTAGACATTCTTATAATATGTCAACAAAAGTTAGATTTTATTTCCATCATTTACACTTTCAAAATAACAGAAAACAAAAAAATGGCATCTGCAAAAGTTTGGGCACCCTGCAGAATTTATAGCATGCACTGCCCCCTTTGCAAAGCTGAGACCTGCCAGTGTCATGGATTGTGCTCAATCATCGTCTGGGAAGACCAGGTTATGTCAATCTCAAAGGTTTTAAATGCCCAGACTCATCTGACCTTGCCCCAACAATCGGCACCATGGGTTCTTCTAAGCAGTTGTCTAGAAAACTGAAAATAGTTGACGCTCACAAAGATGGAGAAGGCTATAAGAAGATAGCAAAGCGTTTTCAGATGTCAATATCCTCTGCTCAGAATGTAATTAAGAAATGGCAGTCATCAGGAACAGTGGAAGTTAAAGCAAGATCTGGAAGACCAAGAAAAATATCAGACAGAACAGCTCGCAGGATTGTGAGAAAAACAATTCAAAACCCACGTTTGACTGCACGATCCCTCCAGAAAGATCTGGCAGACACTGGAGTTGTGGTACACTATTCCACTATAAAGAGATACTTGTACAAATATGGTCTTCATGGAAGAGTCATCAGAAGAAAACCTCTTCTACGTCCTCACCACAAAAATCATCGTTTGAACTTTGCAAATGAACATATAGACAAGCCTGATGCATTTTGGAAACAAGTTCTGTGGACCGATGAGGTTAAAATTGAACTTTTTGGCCGTAATGAGCAAAGGTACGTTTGGAGAAGAAGGGGCACAGAATTTAATGAAAAGAACCTCTGTCCAACTGTTAAGCATGGGGTTGGATCAATCATGCTTTGGGGTTGTGTTGCAGCCAGTGGCACAGGGAATATCTCACGAGTAGAAGGAAAAATGGATTCAATAAAATTTCAGCAAATTTTGGATGGTAACTTGATGCCATCTGTGAAAAAGCTGAAGTTAAAGAGAGGATGGCTTCTACAAATGGATAATGATCCTAAACACACCTCGAAATCCACGGGCGATTACATCAAGAGGCGTAAACTGAAGGTTTTGCCATGGCCTTCACAATCTCCTGACCTCAACATAATTGAAAATCTATGGATAGACCTTAAAAGAGCAGTGCGTGACAGACAGCCCAGAAATCTTAAAGAACTGGAAGACTTTTGTAAGGAAGAATGGGCAAAGATACCTCAAACAAGAATTGAAAGACTCTTGGCTGGCTACAAAAAGCGTTTACAAGCTGTGATACTTGCCAAAGTGGGCAGAACAAGATACTAACTCTGCAGGGTGCCCAAACCTTTGCAGATGCCATTTTTTTGTTTTCTGTTATTTTGAAAGTGTAAATGATGGAAATAAAATCTAACTTTTGTTGACATATTATAAGAATGTCTAATCTGTAATTTGATACCTTTTGGAGATTTTTCCATCTTTCCTTGGCTTCTTTATGCACATTAATACAAATTTTTAGCTGGGGTGCCCAAACTTTTGATCCCCACTGTACACACATGTATACCATGCAATCCTATGCCACACTTGCTGTCAGACAGAAAATGATTCTGCATATGAGGATCACATGAACTTTTATTAACTGTGCAAGGCTTATCAGCCAAATTGCTGGGCATGGTCAGAATAATGGAGGGGGGAGGTCACTGCAACTCCTAGCCTCTGACACAGTAGATTCTGATTTGAGTACAACTGAGGTAGGTAGGGCCTTCAGAATCATGGTCAGATTTTCCTCAATAGGTATCCTATCCTATCCTATGTGAACATAATGCAAGAATAGAAACCTAAATTCCTGATAGGTCACAATATACAGCATGAAAATTATTTCATGTAAATACTCCCACTTTTTACTATTAAGAGCAGTGTTAAGGCAAGCTACATCTGTTAAAGGAACTAGGAAGCATAAGCTTCACAAGTGATCTGATGTCAACACATACAAGAACTGCACAGGCGCTGTGATTCATTTTGAGGGGGAGTGCTGTGATCTCTGTGAGAGGCAATGACCATCTCTTAAAATAAAGATTAGACCCAAGTTTTACATTTAATATAGTTACAGTTTAGATCAGGGGTCTACAAACTTTCCAAAGGGCCAGTTTACAGCCCTTCAGACTTTAGGGGGGCCAGATTGTGGCCAGTGGGGGTAGAAAAAGTCTCAGGGCCAACATCAGTGAGTGTAAACAAGGCCTCAGGTGTGGTGTTCAGTTGCATAGTGCCTGTGGTCAGTGGGAGAAGTAGTGCCCCATCATTGCTATCACTAGGAGGAATGTTGGCCCATCATTGATGTTAGTGGATGGAATAGGGCCCCATCATTGATATTAGTAGGAAGAATAGTGTCCCAAGGGCTGAATAAAGACTAGCAAAGGGCCGCAGTTTGGAGACCACTGCTTTAGATGAAAAAAAAATCAGTTCTTAGGTCTGCTTTAAATTGTAATATTCTGTAAGTCCCTATAATGGAGGCCACTCTTACTAAACACTCTGACTTTATCTTGAAAGTCTAACCAAACACTATCACTAGGTAACATTATTAGGTTTTAAATTTCACAAACCAACAGGCTTGTTTGAAATGTATTTCAAGTTACTTTATTTTCCTATTCATTCATCACCAACATAAGACTTGGAGTAAAGAGCACTAGTCAACTTAATTTATGTTCCACAGTTCTACAGCAACGCATATAAAGGCATAAGGGGTGAGTAAAAGCAGATTTACTTGCCAATATGTTTATGAACTGTGTTATGAATTCCTTGAAATCATAAGAATATACAGGAAGAGAACAGTCCAATCTGCATACAAAATCTGGTTATGCTGGAATCAACACAGGTCACACAAACATGTACATGTACTAAAAGAAGAATGCAGAACAGCTATGATATTAGTTAACTGGGTAGAAACTATGCACATATGGCTCTCTAACCAGTAAGACTGAATGTTTACTAACAATCTCTGAAACATCTATCTACAGAAGGCCACAGATATGGGATCACTGGCCAACAAAACGTGGCTGGATCAAAAGATAGTCATCTAATATGTGTGACAAAATTTTTCTATTTCCCCATTTATGGAATACTGCATCCACTTCTACCATCTCCTCTGGTTTAGGATCTTTCCTTATTGACTGACCAAACCCAAATATACAATTCACTGTTGATGCCCCTGGTGAATACGAAGTTCTTTCCACCAGGGAAAGATGACATTTCTGTGAAATGGTTTAAAGATAGAAATGTACGGTTAAAGGGACATAGTAGATAAGGGGAAGTTATGCACTTTTCAAGAGTTAAAAGAGCAAAAATATTTCTTTTTTACATTGGATGATTTTAGATATTACCAATTAGGACATTTTGTCTCAACGCTCCCCCAGTCACTGAGGATGCCGGTGGACATGCTTCCAGTTGAAAAAATGTTGAGTTCTATGATAGTACATAAACATGTAACCTCTAGGACACAGGTGTCAAACTGGCGGCCTTCCAGCTGTTGCCAAACTACAAGTCCGCATTGCAAGATTGATAGTTACAAGCATGACTCCCAAAAGTAGAGGCATGATGGGACTTGTAGTTTCGCAACAGCTGGAGGGCCGCCAGTTTTACACCCCTGCTCTAGGATATATACGATCCTTATTGAATGGATGGGATCTGAGCCTCCGTTATTCTTAGAGAAAAGGGAAAGAGAATTGGGTACAAAAATAAATGCGCAACAGAAGAAGAAAATGTTTAAGTTGATGTACGGGGTGGTGAACATGAACACAGTAGAAATGAATTATAAAGTTTTAACTAGATGGTATTTTACACCGAGTGTGGCACATAAAGAGAAGAAATTTCACTACTAGGGGTTGTGGGGTAAGGGGGACAATGGCTCACAAATGGGACGGTTCAAAAATACAGGGGTTTTGGCAAGACATAATTCAATATATACAGGAGATCTTGGGGATAACTATTCAAAAGGACCCGTGGGTGTGCCTATTCTATAGGTCAGAAATGTTAGTACAATATAAAAATAGTATAATATACCATCTAATTAGCGCTGCAAAAGGTCTAATCCCCAAATTTTGTCAGCCACAGGATCCTCCAACAAAGAGGGACTGGATAGACAGGACCGAGTATATAAATAAGATGGAGGAGCTATACCATATAGATGAAGACAGAATGAAAACATTTAGAAAGGATAGGAGTAGGTGGTATGATTTTAAGACCTCTGAAAAATACCTCAAAGTGATGGGTGCCGGTAATAGAGTTGGAGAATTAAACTTACTAAAAGTCGAAAAGTGAAGAGAGAATATAGGGTTCAGACTTAGACTTGTAAACAGGGTACAAAAAAATGGAAAGAATTACTTGGACAGGGGTAAAGAAGTTATTTAGATTGTATGTGTGTTTTGATAAATGATATATTGTTTATTTATACATTGAAATAAAAATTTAATAAAAAGACAAAAAAAAGAAAAGGGTTAGACAAGTAGTCACATAATGCTCTTTGGCATCATGATATCAAAGGGTACAAATGAACAAATGTATTAACCCATAGTGCGCCCATAAGTTAAAATATTCTTCAAATGGAACACGTTCCAAATACACAATTTGCCATTCCCATTTTTTAGGAAAGGATATTAAGTATTATACAGATGCTTTTTAAACACTTACAGCACTAATAATAAGCCTGATAGGCACTGTAGCATGAGTTTTATTAACCAATTTCAGAGGAAGAGTTTTCCAGCTGCCAGATGATAGATCACCAAAGTCTAAGCCTTCACATGTTCCTGTATCAACCTGTTTGGATAGAACAAGGGCATAAACACTTCAAATAAAAACGAACAGTAAAACAAACAAAACCCCAACAAATTAATAGCACCACTGCAAAAAAAAACCCATTTAATTACAGCAGAATTTCCAATAAAGGCACCAAGGTTAGTCAAGAATTAAGTTTAAATACACCCTGTATCCCATAAACTACAACATACAAACCCATCAATGCATTTAAATTCTTGTACTCCAATCTGGTTTAACCCTTTTGTTGCCAGGCCCTGCACTCCACTTTTAAATCCAGATGGCCAGGCTGTTTTTGCAATTTTTCCATTTCAATTTTTTTTTTTCCCTTACATCCGTCAGGGTTTGTGAAACTATTGCTATTTTCTTTTTTATTTTGTAATTTTATTTTGTACTTTTTTGTGGGGGTGGAGGCTCTAGTGAGATATCAGATCTAAACAGACCCCCTGAGGTCTCTTTTCAGAGACAGAGAAAGGGACTGAAGAGAGTCCCTTTCTGTGCAGCCTAAGCTGCACATTACATGAATGAATAAGCAGTCTGTAGAGACTCCTATTCATTCATATACTGACACATAGTAAACTCTGCTTACTATGCTCATTTATCAATGGACACAGGAGTGATCGTGTCCATTAAAGAAAAGGGAGGGGTCTGGTAAACACATGTTTACCAAGACAGAAAGACAGACACACACACCTTCCCTGAGTGAGAGGGAGGAGGAAATGCCGGGTAGGGGTTGTAACTATGAGCTTATAAGCAGGAGGAGGAATGTGGCCACCTGGAAGCAGTGCTGTAGGTCCATACACCGTAATGCACACATGCTTTTTCTGCCAGTTGATCAATACCATGTAGTACAATCCTAAAACTACTACATTGTACTTTCTCAGATGAAGGTCTGGGATATACAGCTCTAAATATGCAGATAAATAATTCAGAAGTTATGTTTTATTTTCACCCTTATAATTTACAGACACTTGAAGTTACCTCGATTAACGGATATTCTGAAACAGCAGCAAGAAGAACTTTAGCAGCCATAGTTTCTGCCCTTACAATCGTCTCGGTGTCAGCAGAAACAGGCCAAGACGATACACTCAGAATACACTGGAAAAGTCCTGGTCTCTGGGGAAGTAGGAGAATTTTTATGTCTTCAGCGGCTCGAGGCCCAATTATTGTCTTGTTCTTAAAAACCAGACACTGGTGAGCCCCAACGTCAATCTAGGGGAAAGAAGAAAAACATTTTCAAGAAAGAATAATAATTACCTGCTTTTTTGTAACTAAATGATGGGATTACAGAGTTGATTTCTTTCAAGGCATGTGCTAAACTTTAAAATGACCACTGTTCTCAAATACTGTAAATATAGTGAGAAAATACAAGTCAAAATTTAAAGCAACCCAACGAAGGTCAATTTAACTATGCAATATCTGTTCAAGTGACTGTAAACCCTCACCTTGTAAAACAACCCATTCAGTTTAAAATAGAAATGAATGGCAACACTTTTGCGAATAGATGATAATAAAAAAAAAAAGTTCTATTCACCTTTTTTTCTCTCTTTTTTAACCACTTCACGTCCACCCTATAGCAGTAGTACTACTACAGGGCAGCACGGTGCGCAAATTCACATACATACATACACGTGATTTTGCATCTCCAGGTAGGGGCACACGCGTGCCGAGCGCACACCCAACCCGCGCCACCATTCGCAGCCTCAGCTGTCAATCACCGAGTCCCGCCCGGTGATTACTGCCCTGTGCTATTAATATAGTGTCAGTGCTTTTTAGTAGCACTGTTCACTGTATTGGTGTCACTGGGGATGTCAGTGACACAAAGTCTGTTCCCCGCAGTCCCGCTATAAGTCGCTGATCGCTGCCATTACTAGAAAAAAAAAAATTTAAATCCCAGTATATACAGCAAAGACATGTAGCAGAATACATTTTGGCCTAAATTTATGACGAACTTTGATTTTTAATTTTTTTTTTGTACTGGACATGTTTAATAGCAATTTCTCTTAAAATTGTCGCTTTTTTTTTTTATATATTCTTTTTATAGCGCAAAAAAAAAAAAAAAAATGCACAGGCAATCAAATACCACCAAAAGAAAGCCATTTGTGGGGGAAAAAGGACGCAAACTTCATTTGGGTGCAGTGTGTTGCATGACCACGCAATTGTCAGTTAAAGTAACGCAGTGCCGTAATGCAAAAAAAAATGGCCTGGTCAGGAATGGGGGTAAATCCTCTGGAGGGCAACTGGTTAAAAGTGATCACAGCAGCACATGGAGTTTTCCACTGAAAGGTGGGGGCACTGTGAGCAGAAGTCTGATCACTGGAGGAGAGAACACAGAGTTCCAAGCATAACTAGAGAACTGACCACGGTGTGCGCTCTCATGCCTAGTGTAGTCAGTTTTTAATAAGAAAACAGAGGAACTGTAGGAACACTAGTTATTTCACACAAAGTAAGCAATACAAAGAAAACGGGGTACTTTATAGAAGTACATGGTACAGCAGGCACATATCAAGAATATTAAATATTGGGTTTACATATTCTTTAAGCACCAGCTCTAATATGCACAACTACTCAAGATTACAGGATTTTTTACCTAATTTGAAATCTAATTTAGACATGAGACGTCCAAAAGAAGTCCAAAGGATAGGTGGGAAATGGCAAACAAACACCAACAGGTCCACAAGTCAAAACAAGTCAACAGAGGGTGTGGAGTAGAGTTTATAGAACCACTTGCAGAACCTTATGACTGAAGCTGGCATCAGATGGACATCAACCTGGTAATAAACAAAGACCAAGTGGCAAGCCCTACAAATCTGAGAAACTAAATGACTGATGCAGACATTTATATCAAGCACTAATTGATTAAGGGGAATAAGTCTTGTGGGAAGGAAGAAACCTTGACCTAAGTCTATAAGCATATATGATCAACTGCTTAATCCATCTCAGAAGCAGGCTGTCTTATGGGCACCCTCAGGAATCACTGAAAGGGTCCAGTCAGTCTAAAAAGGAAGCTCTAGCTGAGTGATAATCTTGAACATCATGTACCACATCAAGACGGAGGAGAGAAATCTCCTCAAGATGTCTGGGGCAGGACAGAGATGGGAAAACAAGGTCCTTGTTAAAATTAAAAGAAAAAACCATCTCAAGAAGAAAACAAACCTTAGTCTTCATAACAGCATCATCTCAGTATAAGAAAAGGTTCTTTACAGTTCACCAGTTCAGAAATTCCTGTCCTAAAGGTAATGGTAATGAGGAAGACAACCTTTTGAGTGAATAGACAAAAGAATACAGGTTCAAAGGTCAGTTTCTGAAAAACCAACAGAACCAGTTGAAATTCTATGGAGTCATTGGGAAACATACAGCAACAACAAGGTTAGTGACACACAATACAAAGGCAAGCTTTCTTTGAAGGAGAAGGCTAAAATGTGACGTTGAGGATACTCAGACACAAATGTGGATCCAGCCCAAACTAGACAAAATAAAACAGGATTACTCCCACAGAGTAATGCAAAATTAACAGTGCTAAAGCTCCCTACCCAATTTAGTTGATTAGGTAAAGATCACTGAGTTCAAATTTATTAAATATCTAAAATCTGGACCACCCTGGCACCTGTGCAATCCTTTGATCTACAAATTTTTTTTAAACTTTGTTACAATACATTTTCATGCTACACTAAATGGCTTTCTGGGACTGATTTAGAGGAGGCAGCCTAATTAACCAGCTAGATGTTGTTTAGTTTCAGCCGTACCTCATGGTTGTGTATATTTACATGATTAATTTTCCACCTGTCAGTTTATCCCCAATCTCAGTGGATAATTTACTGTGTAACAACAAGTAATGTTTGCTCACTCCAAAGCACAAAAATTGTTGGCGCACTGGAAACCTAGGGACATGCAAGTAGTCATCCCTTATGTCCATAGAGAGCTAAAAGTTCCCCCGGAAGGAGGTAAGCAACGACTGATTTTGTAGATTCCATGTGCAATTTTTGCACCTAAGGAAGGTGGTGAGAACCTTCAGATCCAGTAACGGGCATATGCCCCTTTTGCTTCAGAAAGGATGAACTGGTTTGAGTAGAAACCCTGGAACCGTTCCATTTCTGGAACAACGGCTATGACCCCCTGTGAGGAGCTGCACCAGAGCAGCGTGGAGGTCTACTAGTTCTTGCTGGGACACAGACAGGTTTGATGACATGTAACAAGGCAAAGAAAGTGTTTGCATATCTGGCTAGTAGCCCTTGGACACAATGTTCAGGATCCAAGAGTTCAAAATGTCTTGGAAGCAGATAGCCACAAAGCCAACAAATGGGGGCTTATGATTTATGGTTGGAGTTCCCAGGTTTGGCCAAAGATAAATGAAACAAACTAATCTTAGATGGTTATGTACAGGATTTCTTAGACTGAGGCTCAGCCTTCTTTTGCTGAGGCAACAGGTTGCCCTGTTCCTCAGTGATGTCTTTAATAAAATTGTTCAGGGATGTGTCAGAGGCATTACCTATCAAAGGGCATGTGCAATAAGCATTTCTTGAACTGAGCCAAAGGGACCAAAAGGAGACCCATTCTGGATATTAGACATCTAATATCCATTATGTCAATGCTATAGGGTAAGGTTATAAGCATGGGCTCCAATTAATTGGAAAACTGAAGTATCCATTAAAATAGATGCAGGATTCCTTGTCATAACCCTGGGCCTGATGCCCAGAGTCTGGAAGATGGATATTATTATTATACAAGATTGATATAGCACCAGTTTGTACCGCGCTTTGCGATAAAAAGGTGGACAGTACAATCACAATATAGTTCAATAAAAGATTAGGTGGGTCCTGCTCATTGAACTTACAATCTAAAAGGAAGGGGGGGGGGGTACAAAAGGTGATGGCTGCAGGTGATGATCTGATGGAGGTGACTCAAGTACAGTTCTTAGATGGAGGTGGGGTAGGCTTCTCTGAATAAGTGAGTTTTCAAAGACTGCCTAAAGGCAGACAGGGTGGAGGCTGACCTGACATATTGGGAGTTCCAGAGGATGGGAGAGGTTCTGGAGAAGTCATGGAGTCGAGCATGGGAGGAGGTGACAAGGGAGCTAGAGAGCAAGATGTCTTGGGAGGAGCAGAGCGGTCAGATTTGGATGACATCTGCAGATGAGGTTGGTAATCCAGCTAGGGGCAGTGTTGTTGATGGCTTTTGACGTTGCGGTTAGTTCTCTGAATTTTATATGTTGGGCTAGTGGAAGCCAGTGAAGGGACTGGCAGAGGGGGGCAGCAGTCGTTGCTCGGTTGGTAAGATGTACAAGTCTAGCAGCAGCATTTATAATAAACTAAAGGGGGGATAGCATGTGTAAAGGTAGGCCAGTGATGAGGGAGTTGCAGTAATCAAGGCGTGATATAACCAAGGTGTGGATAAGTTTTGTAGCGCCAGTCAGAAAGGGCCGAATTCTTGAAATTCTGCCGAGGTTGAGGCAGTAGGATTTAGCCAGTGATTTGATGTAGGGCCCGAAGGAGAGGTCAGAGTCTAGGATTACACTTAGCACCCTGACATGTGCAGAGGGACCAATGGTTGTGCGGTTGATCTTAATGGCAAGTTATGAGTGCAGGATTGGGAAGGAGACAATATTACAAGCTCAGTTTTATAAAAATTTGAGTTTGAGAAAGTGGTGTGACATCCATACGGATTTGTTGCTCATAGTTACATAGTTAGTCTGGCAGAAAAAAAAAAAAAAAATTTATAATCCTATACCCACAGTTGATCCAGAGGAAGGCAAAAAAAAAAAAAAAAAAAAACAGCAAAAGCATGATCCACTTGGCTCCTGCAGGGAAAAAAAATCCTTCTTGATCCCCCGAGAGGCAATTGGATATTCCTTAGATCAACTTTACCTATAAATGTTAGTATTCACTTATATTCTGTGTATCTAGGAAAGAATCCAGCCCTTTTTTAAAGCATTCCACTTGAGGGAGTCTATTCCACATTTTCACAGCTCTCACTGCGAAGAAACCTTTCCGTGTTTGGAGATTAAATTTCTTTTCCTCCAGACATAAAGCGTGCCCCCTTGTCCTCTGTGATGACCTCAGAGTGAATAACTACACCGAATTCACTATATGAACCACTGATGTATGTATACATGTTGATCAAATCCCCCCTTAATCTCCTCTTCTCAAGAGAAAATAAATTCAGTTCCTCTAATCTTTCCTCATAGCAGAGCTCCTCCATGCCTCTTATCAGTT